TTTTTTTTTTTTTTTCATCCAACAAGCCATAACTTTATTAATGATAGAAACAGTACACAATTCAAACCAAACTGCAGTTAATCTTTTGAAACACCAAAAAAAGGTCTTTCGTGTCAGATGATGGTTACATTGTTAATTCCATAACAGCATGTACAACATCATGTTCTTTAAGGCTCTGACTCTTCCTTTGCACTTAATATGTTTGCTTGTGACATGACCAATTCTATGTCCTTACCTTCCACACCTGTTTCATCAACCTCTTCCTTTTCACTCTCCTCTCGTACAGTTGGGGTTTGTGTGTTTTCTTGAATGTTCAAGACAACTTTAACTTGAATTTTGAACTTCTCAGCTAGCTGTGATAAATCCTCAACCTTGGCTCCCCCAAAACTAGGTAACTGAGGCCGGGCTCTTGTAGACTATTTGGCTTTGTGATGACAAAGAGGATATTCTTTGATTTCCGGATAGTGACTCTAGTAATCCCTGTGACTTGCCGTAGACCCAGTTTGGACATAGCCTTGCGGCATGCCTTCTTTTCACTCCGACTCTGCTTTGCTTTACTTGATTGGTTCTTTGTCAATTTCAGCTGCCAGCTGGGCTGCTTGTGTGGTTGCCTGCATGGAATCCTGTGCCTCGAGCTCTGGTACTGACTCCTCACTCTCAGAATCTGTTCCAGACCCTGTCTCAGCACGGGCTGTGGCAACTCCTGCTCTGTGGCAGGGACGGTTTCTGTGGCTTCACCGGGCATTTTGTACAGGGAACACGGAACCGAGATGGCCACAGAAAGCGAGCGAGGAAGAGCCTGTTGTGAGGGCTCTATTCTGAAGTAACCCAGTCAGTATTTTTAGGATACCTGTTCTAAGTTATTACTCTTTTCTACTAGCCACTAAAGAGAGTGATGGGAGGAAAGGGCACAAGGTCTTCTCATAGTATGTACTGCTGAGTCCTGGACTTAATCTAAGTGCATATAGGAGGGAGTTGGGGGAGATCTCCCCAAGGAAAAGACTTTGCGTTGAGTTCTACTGGAGTTGGCAGAAAGTGGGGTGGAGAGTACTCTGGGTGGAGAGGCCCCAGAGTGTGGTCTAAGGTCTCTAGTGCTGCCTGCCACAATAGAAATACCAACAGAAATGTGGTGTAGAGAGCAGAAGTCTGAGTCGGGCATCAGCTTTAGGGGAAGGCTTTCTCTGGTTTGGTGCTGGGTGGGGGTGGGGGGGACTTATTCCTTAGCTTTTTGCAGCGTGGCATCTGTGTTCCTCCAGCTTTGCTTCCTTAATCTCTTCTGTCTCGCAGGAGGTTGGCTCAAGACACCCCATCCTAGTACTGCCTAATTACAACAGAACCCATTCCCAGATGGGGCTACAACCAACGGTTGTGATTGGGGGCAGGGCATAATGCAATCCATAACGGCATCTGGAAAGCCCTGGGGGACAGGTCAGTGTGGGGATTCAGGTTGGAGAGCACACTGCATAAGGCTGCAGAGGTGAGACAAGCCAGGAACAAAACAGGATTGTGTAGGTTCATGTCAAGACTTGTCTTTTATCGTGAAATTAAGGCTGGCCAGTGTGAGAGAGGCATAGATTTGTCTTTTGGCCGGGAAGGAGTGAAGGCCCAGGAGACAGACGGCCGATCGCAGGAGTCCTGAGAAGAGGTGATCTTGTGTTAGAGTGGTGGGGTGTGTGTGTGTGGGGTGTGTGTGTGTGTGTGTGTGCAGTGCCACCATCTGCTTCTGGCATGGTTCTGCGCATAGCACGAAGTAATAAGTTGTTAAGGTGCGCACGAGCCGGAACAAGGAGGCTGTCTGGCAGCAGTGTTCACAGTGGTCTGGGAGGGCCTGGGCTCTGGAGCAGTACCCTACCGGCCTATGTCTCTGTGGCCAGTAGAAAATTGCACCCTCCCCGGCCCAGAGAAAGCTGTGTGTTTCTTGGCGTGGAGCCCTGGC